TATTATTTATTATTATTTTAATAAGTTTTGAATTTTATAATAGGTACCAAATGAAAACAAATTGTTATTTTGTAAAATTGTTTAGTAGTTAACTTTGAAATACCTTCATTTATTAAAGACAATTGCTTGTATTCTTGTGTTTTATGCAGTTAAAAGAAAGTGTAACATACCCTTACGTTTCGTATTATAATTAAAATGAATAGTTTTACATTAGAAAAGATTTATAGAACTGAATCATTGCAATTTGGTTGCACATATTTGTACTAATAGTATTACAAAGAAGTCCAGATATCAACAAATATATTATAAAGAAAGTCTTTGCATTAACTTTTAAAAAATACATACCTCGTGTGGTTGGTCATGAAAAGAACGCGTTTTAACTAAAAGATTTGAGAATTGTACTTTCTTACAATGAGATATTTGCAAAAATTTAGGAGAAATTTACACAACAAAGTTTCCATATGAGTAGCGTCACTTGAAAAGGCCATTCCCTGTCAACCAATTACAGACAAGAACAGAAAATTTGAGTTTCAAAGCCAACTTAGTTAATGTAGTTTAGCAAATTTAAAATAATTATATTTAGAATATAAATGCCTTTATTATTTTATTTGTTCAAAGAATTGATTAAGAAATTAATGTAATTTATAGCAGAAGAGAACCAAATTCACTATTACTTAATTGTAAACAAACGATAGAAGTTGTAATAAAAATGTAGCAACTTTTAGAATAAATAAACAATTGACTACTAACATTTTGTCTTTCGTTTATTACTGATAATCCTTTATATAGTGAATTTATTTTCAAACATTTGCTTATACTATAAGACAATACATTAATAGGTAGGCAGGTGATAGTATTTTTTATTGTTAATACTAATTATAATGTTTTTATTGTGAAACTTGATTTTAAGCTAATTATAATCGGATATGATAAAAGAAAACACATTGTGTTGGAATGACTAAATCTCAATTAAATGTATCAATTTAAAAATTTTTCAAAAACATACCTTTTTTATAAATCGATAAATGGCTAACAGTTTCAGTCAATTCAAAGGCCGTTACGATATCATAGATGTGACGAGTATTAATCCATAGACATATATTAAACCAGAGAAGAGAAACGTCTCTCTTCTCTGATTAAACGTCGAGCATATATGTCTATGACGTCGATGTATTAATCTAACCCAAAGATAATAGATCTAACCTTATCTATGAATCTAACCTTGAAATTGAAATATGTAGAAGTTTGAAGCAATTTGAGGTTTAAATATGTTTGAATGCAAAAGTAAGCAAAAATAAACGTTATTAATACCTGATCTGTAATTAAATGTTCATATAAAACAGTTATGTTTTCAGTTTTCTGTAAGTTTATTCGAAATAAGCCTGAAGTTTAATGGGTAAAGATATGCTAAAAATTTCTAACGTTTTCTAGAACATTCAAAAATGGAAAGTATACATTCAGGTAACAAACAAAAATCCACAAAAGGGATATTAAATGACGATGACAATATTGAAGAAGACATACATAATATAAAAGACGAAGCACAACATCAAGAGGATGCTAATAATAGTAGATTGTCTAGTGAAGAGGTTAAGTCGAAAGCAGTAGTTAAATATTCTGTACCCTGCCCTTCAAAGTTTACCAAACTTCAGTGCAACACCGATTTAAATCTGCCTCCATCAAATTGGCTAAGTAGTTCTATAGATTACTATGGATTACAACAAGTACTCTATCACCCAGGAGAATTTTCAAGGTATTTCCCTTTATTATTAAGTTGAATGATTATAATTGAATGAAGGGATATTTTTGGTAGTTTTAGAATGGCACATATGTTTCCTGATTGTGTGGGAGAGGTCGATGTGGTGTCAGATGCAGAAAACATCAAAAGGCTTCTAAAAATTCCCTACCACAAAGGTACTGTCAGCATGATGGTACATAGAGTAGAGAACACTTTACTTCTAGATGATTTTGACATTTATAAGCATATTCTCAGAACTGCTGAAACAGAATGGGAATGGCTACGTCGTTTTTTCTATGAAAACATTAAGAATACAGTACATAGCGAAGAAGCTTTTGACCGTACCTTATATTTTAAAAGTAAAAGTCGCAAAGCGCTAAATCAAAAAAGCTTAGTCTCGAAATTTCTTTATCACAGTCTAGCTGACAGTGACGAGTGCAAAACTGTGGCCATAGATGATCGAAAAAGTTATCCTATTGCCGGTCCTATATTGCCTGAACCGTCAAAAGAAATTCCCGATCCTTCACAGGACCACAAGTACAACAGGAACGTAATATGGACGTTTGAGGATATTCAGATGTTGATAGGGACTGATATGCCGATTTTTGGAGGAGGTACACATCCTTGTGTGTCCCTACGGCTACGTGAAATGAGTAAACCAATCAATGTATTAACAGGAATCGATTACTGGTTAGATAATCTTATGTCGAATGTTCCCGAAGTTGTTATGTGCTACCATTTGAATGGGATTGTCCAAAAGTATGAGCTCATAAAGACGGAAGACTTACCCCGGCTTGATAATTCGAAATTTTCGCCCAGAGTTATAAGGGAAGTTGCTAAAAGTATATTGTCATTTTTAAAGTCGAATGCCACGAAAGCTGGTCACACTTATTGGCTTTTCAAACCCAAAGATGAAGATGTAGTAAAATTGTACGATTTAACATCGTTATGTACCAAGTACATTGTAGAAAAGGATGAAAATCCTTTTACTGTACCTGTGGCTATGCTTCTTTACCGTGTGGCAAGAAATATGAAACATTCTTGTGAAAAGCAACAACCAGGAACCATAAGAATGCTCTTAAAAAACTGCATCAAGCTCTTGTCAGAAGAAAAGTATCCTGAAATTGTTACTTCTTCCCATTATATGCTCTCAGATCTCTATTTACCAGCTGGCACAGATCCAGAAGCTCCAGGTTTCGATAAAGCATCAGAATCAGAATCGGAAAACGAATTTGTATATGACGAGGACGATGATGATGATAATGATACCGATTCTGCCACAAAAGTGCTTATTTTGGACTCTGACAATTTGCACGATAAGTTTATTAATCATTATAAAAAGCCGCAACCGATTTCTGGCACTGTGGAAGAGCGTTGTCTCCAAGCGGTGCACCACGTAGCACAGGGCTTAGCATGCCTCAAATATTTCCCACAAGATAATAACGAAAAAGAAGTCTCTCAAACTTATGAACAAGCCAATATAAAAATACCCAAATCTCACGAACCTATTCCTATGCCTTACGCTAGTTTAAATGAAGAAACTGTCTCTAAGAAAACTAGCAAGAAAGCTAACAAGAAACGCAAAGAAAAAGTGAAAAAGTACGAAACAGCCCTTATACCGGATACGACATCTCTCCAAAGTTCTACAAATGCCCTTTTGCTCAAGAACAAAATCGAGGCTCAGCCGTTACCAACCTGGCAAGAAAATTACGAGAACATATCGTGGAAGCAGCATTTGAAAACGCTTCTTTACGAGAAAATTGTCCTTGTTTACGCGACCCTCGCCGAACAGAATTATCTCAACGGCAACTATGGAAGCAGCCTGAGATACTTGGGACTTCTTGTGAGATGCCATCAGGTAATGCGAAGTCTCTTACACAACTCCAGCACCTTAATGGAAAACTGCCTGCTTGGTCGCACGGGAGACTGTTGCATTATGATGGTTCATAATTGGGATAAGGTAGACAAGTACCAGAATGAATTTCACAATCAAACTGAAGAGGATCAAAAAATGGTCGAGCAAATTGAAAAGGACGAACAGTTTTATGGGGTAAATTACTTAAATTTGAACGTCAAGTGCGTGCTGCTGTATGACATACGAACCGTAGAGCAAATGCTCATGAAGGGTGTGTATTCACGAAAATCTCTTGCTTTAGAAGTTAACTATTTTATATTTCAGGCGTGGAGTGTTACGAGGAAGCCCTCAAATATGACGAATCCAGTAGCATTCTACGACGTCTAGGTAACAGTCTCAATGAACTTGGTAACTATTATCTAAATCAAGTACATACTTCTGACTCGGTGCCTTTTATACTGGAATGTTGCGATAAAGCTGAGCCCTATCTTAAACGTGGATTAGAACTATTTGAGAAGGTGAAAGATGTCTCTAATATTGCATTGTTATATGCAAATTTGGGGCATTTAAATCGCGTTCTTGCCTTTGCCAATTCTCCAATTGAAAGGACCGAACTTACTGTTAAAGAAAAAGTCCATTTTAATAAAGCGTTTGTGAACTACAAGAAGGCCCTCCAGGTGCTCGGAGAGCGTTACCACTATCCCTACGTTTGGGACTCTGTTATGTGGGATTTGTGCTCGACATATTTCACTTTAGGAACTATTTTACATGAGAACCCCAGCAGCAAAGTGGTCAGTAGTTTTGTTTTATAAGTTTTATAATGAATAAAGAGACTTACTGATCTTTTGTTGTTTTACAGAGTAGGACAGAGGCTGAAAAAGAAGTAACCGAAATGTTCCATCAAGCTCTGAAATACTGCGATTTGGACGAGAACAATCCAAAATTCGTTGCGTTTCAGCAAAGAGCCGCCTCGATTCATTATCGTTTGGGATCCCTTTATCACAGCAGTGTCTGGAATTACACCAATGACATCACTAATAAGAAGAATGCCGTACATTTAGCAAAATTACATTATAGCAAGGCAGCCGCATTATTTTACGCACTTCTTGATGCCTTAAATTTCCTCACAGTACAAATGCAGAGGTTCGCATTACTAGAAAATTTAGGAGAATGTAAGTAGTTCAAACATTAATTTCCTTTAAGTTCATCTAACTTAAATTTCCTGCATTTCTTTTCAGCCGCTACGTCTTCTCAAACAAAGATCAATCATTATCACGACTGCCTCCAGATTTTGATCGAAGTTGGGCCCTTAATAGAACTTATAATACGCAAAGAAATAGATGTTGACTGCACCGCGACAAATGACAAAGACGAAGGCACATCTTTTAAAAGTATCAGTTCGCTTATAATGCTTCTAAAAGATCGAATACAATTTGTCCTGAAAACTTTATTAAAATTATCCATTTCAAAATCCACATCTAACAAAGATTACACAAAATCGGTGGCTGTATATAAAGCTTGCTACAGCTTGACGCTAAGTTTAGATAGCAAGATGGACTTCGAAGATTTCCTTGTTAAATTGCACCAAGTGATTACACAAATTGAAAAGAAAATTAAATCTCTCAAAGAAGAAGGTGTCGGCTCTAATTGACTGTTACATTGTAAAGTTATTGTTTTTTTAATTTATATTTGTAAGATATTATTTAATAAAACACGTCTTATTTATCTCTAATCTCTTGCAATTAACTTATTCAACATAAAACAAACAATGTATAAAACTTTATTTATTCATATAAAAGAATATCGAGATTAAAAAAGCTTATAATATATAATAATCCTCGAGCAAAAGTTTTATATTCTATTACAAAAAAATCGTCATTAAATTATATCCACGTCCATTAACTCTCTTACTGTTACATACTACAATCTAAATGGAACACTTATCTGATTTATGTTGGATCATGCTTGCTTTTTTTCGACAATTACACAGATTTGATTTTTCGAAATTATACCATTTAGGATTTCATTCGCATATCGATTCTGCTTACTTTTTTCTTTGTAATATTTGGCCAATGTGGTAAACGACTTTAATCTTCTTTTGTATTCCAGTATTACATGTTTGTATTTTTTCTTCAGTAACTTATATCTTCTTAAATTATTAATATACATCTCCTTCCAAAGTGTATGCCTGGAGTCTCCCTTGGACAATTTTGGTCGTTTCAAATTTCCATTTTTCGGCTTTGTAAAGATTTTGTTACAATCCTTGGGTGTTATAACACTCTTCGGTTCTGACATTTTATTTCAGTATTAAAATTTTATGTTATAATTCAAACCGTTTTTATTTCAAAATGTAAACAAATTATCTAGGTTATATTTACGATTGTTAGTCATCTACACTTAACTTCTTCTTCTTCTATTTCCAAAGTTGTCAAAAAAGAAGTGTTCATTTTGGACTTGACAACCACAAGCATGATTACTTTAGAATTAGTAATGTTTTTGATTCTTCTAAATATTTTTTTGTTGATGGCAAGAAAATGTTAAAGTTCATAAGAGAATTACATTTTCTTTTAGTATTTATACTAGCTATTACCTAAAATTTTACTCGAGAGGAATATTTCAGCTAGTACAGAGTGAATTTTATTTTATAAATTTGAAAAAAAGGCACAAAACATTTTTATTTTCAATTTCTATTTATTAAATTATTTGAGCTCATTTAAAATAAGAGTACAATATGAAGAATGATTTCTATAAAGACTAATCTACTTTTATTCTTTTTGTAATTCCTTTATCAACACTATATAACTTTTTTTATTCATCATCATATCATTTAAACTTAATTCAATGTCACATTCCTCGATATATTATTTTATTTGTGTATGTATGCATTTATTTATTTATTTATTTTGTTTTACTGTTTGTTATTAAACAAAGAATTTAACATAAACCATTAGTATTCACTAGATGAAAAATTCATAATCCTTCCAAATAAATAAGTACACGCGACTTAAACCAAATGCGCAACTTTTAGATGTTTTTCTGCCTAAATATGATGCAATTATAAGGAAATCCCAAACAGGATACCGTATTTAACAAAGGATAGAGGTGATTAAAATTCACAAGGCGTCGAAATACGAACTTGAATCACGTAAAATAGTAATACACGATACAAATCATCAAAGAAATCTATATTTGCAAATGATCTGCATTTTATGAGACTGTTTTCCGTCTTGATTCTCTATATAAACGAAAAATTGTAATACTGTTGTTAGAATATTTGAAAATCCGTGTGCGAAATTTCATTGATTCCTAAAATTCTCAACGATGAGAGCCATCCTTATGGTACGTAAATTTTTGTANATGTAAATATAAGTAGATACTCTCTTAACTGTGGAATTGCAACACTCGTTATGCTTATCGTTTCTATTTTACTATTTATCGAATCATTCTGTAAACACAACAATATTTGAACTGATGAAGTAACTTATTTTGCTAATTTTCGGCCTTCACAGTCACCCTTCAACATATAGAAAATATAGGTATTTTTTATTTTTTTATAGTTTACATTTAATTATTAAAAACAGTAAATTTTAAGTACAAGACAATAGTCAGATTTAAAGCAGTCTCATTTTCATCTCATTTTACCTATAATTTTTATGAGTTTATTAATGATCGAAAGTGTGTGCCTACAGAAACTAAAGACCAATTGGCTTTATAGCCTTCTGTTTTTACTCCTTAAATGTTGAGCTAAGGTTGAGAAGGTTCCTCTGATTTAAAATTTTATCAGACATAATGAGGTGAACCTTTCCAACTTTACATTGGTATAAATTTTATTGTCCTAGTCCAGAATGATGAATAATTTTGGCAATTTCGGAACGGCTAATGTGTTCTGAATCCCGATTGTACACGGGAAATTCATTATTCAATCTGAGGGATTCCCCGGCAAGTTGGTTGGCAATTTCGGGATTTTTGTAGAACGGGTTCAACAGTGAGGGGTGCAGCTGATTTTCGTACGAAGCCACTTCGAGAACTTTGAAATGGGGAGACGGTGGACTCTTAGCTGCTACATTGCCCGAATAATGGGGAGGTGACAATGGCAAAAAGGTACCTTCGTTACTACTGATGGCACTTGGATTTTGGGAAACCAAATTAAACGATGCAAACTGACAATAAACTGCATGAACCAAAACAAAGATCGTTATAGAGCATGCTCCTTTCATCATGTTCGATTGTCTGTATGAAAGAATAGTAAATTTGTGTAAATTACAGTTTTACAGGGAAGCGTTGGATGTTAAATCTTTTGTTATATTCTATACGTACCATAAAATTAATAAGTTCAAAACAAGGGCGATTAAAAAATCACGCACTTTTTGTGTAGTACCTTTGAAACAGTCACGATGTTCGGATATACCTAACGAAACGTCGAATGTAACGACATTATTTATATTAAATTTGCCTCTTATTCAAATATATTCAAGTCCTTGCTAAGAAATCAGGGCGAGAGGTCGACCTTGTCTCGTAGTAGAACAGAGTCATGGGCGTTCTAAATGGGGTAAGGTGTTGTGGAGCATAACTTAGCCTACATTCTACTTGTACGTAGATATATACAATACCTACACCATAAATACTCTACATATATCCTACCTATCTGTATAATTAATCATAAATCGTAAGCAATTCATGTGATACAGTGGAAACCAAAAATTACCAATTCACTAGGTACCCTTTTTTGTATTTATAAAGAACTGAGGAGACTGTTGCCACAAATATACAACCAACCTGTAACGAATCGAGACATGGGACAACAGAACCACGACAAAGTTTAAAGAAGATGGAGAATTAATACTTTAACCGAACAACAGACACCCCAAATAAGCAATAACGTTTAAATAAGTTTAAAAGAGGAGACCTTCGATCACGACTCTATCAAAATGTGTAATTATGTTGTGTGTGTGTGTGTTAATTAATTGATATTCTTTCTCTTCTGAAGGGAGAAGAGAAAGAATGAAGGCAGGAACGTGGTCCACGAATTGCTGAAAAAGAAAATAAAAAAGAAAGTTAGTACCATTGTTTAAAAAGATATTTGGTTGGACGTAAAGTATTTCTTTACTTACCGCTCGTGCTGGAACATATTCAAAAGTAAAAAATAAAACACATGTAATTTATTGTGAACCCACTGGTAGAGTGTTAGTACTGTATGTCCTTCATTACTTACAAAATCGGGGTAATTGTCAAGTTTAGATTGTGATACAAAAGACTGAAGTTTAGTATTTGAGTAGAGGAATACATTGGTGGGGGTCCAGGTTGCCAAAAACCTCTTCTCCATAGACAATACGTGGGAGAAAGGTTTATCTAATATTTTAAACGCCATGACTATTCCAAAACACCTGCCCCAACCGAACCATACAGCATCAGTCAAGCTCTTGTCCCATGGATTGTCTAAGGAGATGGGCGTAATTCACAGCTTTTGAATCAGGGGTTTCTACAACCCAGATCCCCACCAAATTGTTCCTCGACTCTTGAGCTTTCCATGGAGGTGTTACACTCCCTGGTGGGGATGGGATTAAATACTAAACTCCTCCCAAACAAAAATTTCTATATCTGCTCCTTGATTTATTTTAACTTTTAATATTTTATATACTATGAGTGTGTGCTTCAGATGGGTAGCATTAGTTTTGGTAAAAATGAGATTTTGAAAATGCAGGATGATTGAAATAAATTAATTTTGATAATCAATTAAAGAAAGTTGGTAGGACACCATCTGAGACATGAGAAGCAGAAACAGGAGTAAAGAGAAGTAGAGGTAGATCTCGGCTACATTACTCCAACACTTAACTTTTCAACAACACTGTCTTCTTTACTGCTCTGTTATATCCACTAGCTGAAAGAAATATCAGATAGACCCAACGAGTGACAAGTAAACATGCACAACATTTAATAAATTTGTAAAAAGTTTGTATGTATGTGGAACACAAAACCCAAGGGACAACGTGGACAAAACACCATGCATGTATTACAATCGTAATTTTAAATGTTCTCTATTTTATAACATCAGTTCATCAAAAAACAACAACAGATAGATATGGATATGTGATACGTTGTAAAGGACCTGAACCAACAGCTAATCATTATAAAACCCAAATGAGAATCAAAGTTTGACGTCACAGGCGCAGCACCTGCATACGTCGGTCCCTAACACGTGGAGCGTCTAAAGTGGGTAATAATGGACCAACAGAGGAGCCCAATAGTACACTAAATTACAGTTTGTAACTTATCTTATTGGGCACGAAAATCAAATATAGCCCCAAAGTAATAAAAATCAAAAATAGAAATATAAAAACTTGTCACTCAGGTCTATTTGAAGCAAAATTCATTAGTGACCTACTTTGAGGCGTCGGCTAGACCTTATAGGGTTCACCGAAACCTTAATCTATCCAGCGTTGGATGTCCAGGGTCCTCATCCTCTCCGTGTTGCTTGGTGGGAGGGGGAGCGAATGCTATGCGAGACTGGGTGGTGGTGGGGGACCATCGAGAAGCATCATATCAGTAGTGAAACGGTGTACTTGTAAGCTGTTAGTTTTTTATCCTGATTCTTACTTGGGTCGACTAGTACGTACGTTATAATCCTGAAACAAAAGGGGACAATTAACAACTCATCAAGAGTTACTGTTGAAATATGTAATGCACATTTGGTAGTTTTTGAAGGTCTCGTTGCTATAATATTATATATAAAAGAAGTTCTGAGTGTTGTCAGCACAGGGCAAAATAGTATTATGTAGTTAGGATCTGCAATTTCTTATGCGAAGTGTACGATGTGTTGCATACCTATTTACAAATAATTCCATTAAATTTAATTTTTCAAATAATTTTTAACATAAATAAAGTGATTAAACAAATTGTTCACTAGCCAAGGGAATTTCGACCAATCGAAATAATGACGCTAACAGTCTCGAGCTTACAGTGACTGATAGGGGGGAAGAACTTGTAACAATAATTAATATTTCTGAAAAATAAATGTTTAAAAGTTAGTATTGGCATAAAAAGATTTATTAAAACAAATGCTAATCTACTGAATGTTTTGCACCAAAATCCAGCAACACTTTTTATGTTAAATAATTGAAATTAATCAACATGTAACTATTGCTTTCGTTGGTCTTGTATTTCATTCAAATTTCAATGAATTTTTACTAACATCATTCGAAACATAGTGGGGCATCTTGGGTTCGAAAGAAGTAGTTTGTGAGAACAAAGTAAGGAATTATTCCAAAGTTTGCTTTTTTATCACAGAGTGCGTTGCAGTTTGTAAGCAGATTATTAGTAAAGTCCCCGTTATTAATTAAATTGATTAATCATTACTAATTAATCTACGACCATTAATTAATTTAATCTTTAACATGTCTACCTGTTTGTTTATTATTCTAAATTGTGGTCGTTGATTTGGTAAGATCCATATGATGTTAGTTGTAAAATACAAGTCTTCAAAATTAACTTTTAAAAGGTACAAAACTGATATTTTAATTTGTTTTATATTGAACATAAAACATTGAAGTTTGTTTTTTACCATAATAATTGTATGGAGAGAGGTCTAAGTATATTACTAATTTTATACAATTCATACCTAATATATGGAGTAGAAGCCTTTTTAGAAGTCCATATCATTTGAGTCCATCCCAGTTGGTTAGTGTAGGTGTTGCCATTACTTCGAAGGTGTATAATTTTCAGTCCAATTACTATAAAACACAAAAAATATCTTAGAAACTGATACAGTAGCCAGGAAGCCAACAACTTATCATTTTTATTACTTAATTTACATGTTTCTGATTTATGGGAAACAAGTGAATTTGGTAGAAAATTGTTTTTTGTTATTGTAAAAATGAGTAATTTTACAAATTCTAACTTCAAATCAGTAAAACAAGGACTGAAAGTCTGTTTTAATTACATGGTATTTAGAAGGGGTTTGTGAAACTGAATATTGGAATTAGTTGTGTAAAAACAAGTTAATCTCAATGTATACAATTAAAAGGAACATTTTTTCCATTCATTATTAAAACTATCAATTGTGTAAAATTTCTAACTTACAAAGTTATGACAGTGGATGGCAGCTTCAACAGAGATGTAGGGATGTCCTATTTCCTTTGTACTGAAGGAGGCTTTCAGCTTGATGTGAATTAAATCTTTGTAGTGGAGTATTGATGATATGTTGATGAAGTCTTACAATTAAAAACTAATAAAATCCATTCCAGTTACTACAAAAACAAAGGAAATGCCTTAAGAGTTGATTTTATACGATAACAGTTACGAAAATTAGTAAAACTTTGTCATTTTTATGCTTCGTATTACAGATGCCAAAGCACAACAAATTGTTATTTTGTAAAATGTTTTAATGGTTGACATCAGAGTACCTTCTTGTGTTGATTATATTGTTCTGTATGCTTTTGTTTTTTTGAAAACAAATGAATTTGTGACAAAATTCTAACTTTAAATTACTAAAACAACGAACGAAAATATGTTTTAAATGATATTTAGGAAATGCAATGCAATGTAGTTGTATTTGTATTGAGTTATCATGAAGATGTCCAAGTATCAAAATTTTACACTATCGTTAGAATATCAACAAATATATGAAGAAAAATCTTTGCAGTAGTCTTGCTTTGAAAAACTTAATGAATTTAGTACGTTACCAATACTATATTTACGGTTTTTCATAATTTTAATATTTATCATGGTATAGGTTACATTACTGAAAGTTTATCTTATAAAATCACGAAAATCCTTTAGGGGCGAAATAAAAAAATACATACCTCATGTAGCGGACTATTAAAAGAACGCGTTTTGATAAAAAAATCGTAGGGTCTTGCGTTTTCACTATAAGAAATTTCCAAAAATTGTGGAGCTAAGTTTGAGAGGAAAATTTTGTAAGAATGGCGTCACTTGAAAGATGCATTGTTGACCGACCAATCAGAGACGAGAGGGTTTCAATACCAACTTTTGGGGATTCAGGCGCGAAAGTTTTGAAATTTAATAAATGAATTTTTTTCTGGATTAATAAACATTTCAGGTTACCATTAATAGGGAGTTAACTTAATGTAATTGAAAATCAACATTTATTAATTGCGTCTACTTCTATTCTTATTTATTATTAAAAATAAGTTCTATAAGTTCCTACCTTATATAAGGGACAAACGAGGGGTGCAAGTCTCTATAGAAGGTATTGTTTCCTTTGCACATAAGTCTGTTTTAAATCCTTGTCGATCAAGTCTTTATAGTTGATTCATGTAGGTAGTAACTTCGTCTACAAAATTAAAAAACATTAGTTTTAATTCCAATTGGCATAAAAGTACAGAAACTGTCCTAGAAATGTATATAACAAACTAATCTAGATAGAAATGATTAATAAATTACTATATTTATTATTTATTATTATTTTAATA